ATGGCTTTGAGAAAATGCCTTTATTTTACAAATCGAATTTGGGATGTAAGAGTTTTGTTTGTTTTTAAGTACTCTGTATATGTGGGTTTTGTTTTAAGATGTTTTCACATTTGGTACATAAATATTAGGTAGGACTTAGAAGTAAATTAAGTACCGACAGACAGTTTTTCCTTCCCTATCTTCTTAACAGCAACACTTGTTAGTGCTGTAATATCTTACAAATTTAATAGAGTTAAATCTGAACAGCTCAAAATGATGTAATTCAGTTCATTTAGCTTTTTGGTTCAGAATCCAACCTCTTGGAATGATACCTGACAGCCAGCATTTATATAGTTTGAGTCATGAACATATTTTTAAGTCCTTTTGGCTTGTTAATTCACCTGTGTATATGGGCTATCCAGGCAGGTAACATGTGTCATATAGGTAACGTGTATTATTAAATAATATGTGCCCTAGAATCTTGTTGAATCAGTTTTTCTCTCTCTGGTTTAGAAATGCATTTATTTAATTATTTGAGAATTACAGCATCTTTTCATGTATGTATTTGTCATTATACATTGCAGTCTTTGAATTATCTTCATATCCTTCATTTTTCAAATGTGTTATTTATGCTTTTCTCAGAGCTTTTTTTTTTTTTTTTTTTTTTTTTTTTTTGAGACAGAGTCTCACTTTGTTGTCCAGGCTAGAGTGAGTGCCGTGGCGTCAGCCTAGCTCACAGCAACCTCAAACTCCTGGGCTTGAGTGATCCTTCTGCCTCAGCCTCCCGAGTAGCTGGGACTACAGGCATGTGCCACTATGCCCGGCTAATTTTTATATATATATATATCAGTTGGCCAATTAATTTCTTTCTGTTTACAGTAGAGACGGGGTCTTGCTCTTGCTCAGGCTGGTTTTGAACTCCTGACCTTGAGCAATCCGCCCGCCTCGGCCTCCCAAGAGCTAGGATTACAGGCGTGAGCCACAGCGCCCGGCCCAGAGCTTTTTAACATTAGACTATTATCACCAGTATTCTTTATATTTAAATCTTTGGTCTGGTTGGAAGTTATTCTGACATAATGAGTGAGGTGGGAGTCTATAAGGAAGAGCCCTTAGACTTGGCCCTTCCACTGGATATTTACCCTCTTTTGCAGTAACATTCAGTAAAAGTCCTGGATCTGTTTTTAACGATTTATTATACCTGGTAAACACCAAGCTCATAGCCAGAGTCTCTAGGACAGTCAGGAGAGTCCAGGGGGCACAAAGTTTTCCCAAGAACAGTAGGGCGCATGCTTCTATTGCCAGTAGAATAGTATCGTAGGTATCTGTGTGTTCTCATGAAGAGTATGGGGAAACTGGGAAGCCCCCACTTGGGAGCATGCTGCCCTCAATTCTGTTCTGTGTGGCCCCTTATTTTCAGACATGTTTCAGTATCCTTTTTTCCATTAAAAAAACTTTATATCCTCGTCTATATTTGTTGTCATCTTTGCATCAAGCATATCACCTTCCCATGTTGGAGCCTGCTGAATTTTTTCTCCTCAGTGGCTAGGCAGTTGTCCACTTATACCATTTGTTGAATAACATGTCTTCCCTTCTGATTCTCATTTGGCAAGCTCTATTCCATTTCCCTGATTGCTTATTACTAAAAACCAAACAAATAACTATTGTTAATGGGAAAAAAAACACAAATTCTGTAAAATAAAGAGCTTCGTTCTGAGCCCAATGAGTGACCATGGCCTAAGGCCATGGTCTTAAGAGGGCCTAAGAAAGTGTATCCGAGGCACTTGGGTTATACTTGGTTTTATACATTTCAGGAGCCAAGACTTGGAGGTGAAATCATAAATCAGTACATGGAAGTTATACATTGATTTGGCCTGGAAAGGCGGGACATATGGGGAGGGGCTTACAGGTTATAGGTGGATTTATAGAGTCTTCAATTTGTAATTGGTTAAAGAAATAAAGCTTTGTGTAAAGGCTTGGAATCAGTAGAAAGGAATGCTTGAGTTAAAATGAGAGATTCTACCTGTCATGTGATGCTATACCGGAGTCCCATTGGAAAGTAAGCCACATTATACCAGGTAAATAAAACCCATTTAATGAGATTTTATGGTTTATAAGGCCTGACTTAACCTTTTCCTCATGTGGTTTTAGGTCCTATTTGTAATTTAATATCTATTGCCACAAAGATTCTGTTTTGTCAGGCTTATGATCTCTATTTTAACATTAACGCTAATCAGTTGTAGTGTCTAAATTCCAAAAGGAAGGGGGTATGAGGTGTGTCTGACCTCCCTTTCCATCATGGCTGGGAACTGTTTTAAGATTTTTCTGGGGTCCTTTTGGTCAGGAAGGGGTCTGTTCAGTCAGCCAGGGGCTTAGCATTTTATTTTTAGTTTACATTATAGTTGGGGCAAAATAGATAGTTGTATAAATTAATTTTAAAATGTTTCTGGAAAAAGGTCTAATTTCCAATAACATGGGGAGCTCACATTTGGCAGTGTCAGTGAGACAAAATGGACTGCAGAAGAACTGAGAATACAATTTAATCATTATGTACAATAAGTGAGGTCCTGAGGGATGAAAATAAAATTCAAGTAATGTGAAAGCTTTATGATAGAAATCCTCAAAAAAGAGATTTATTTTTATTTTATGAATATTCATTATTTGTATGTAAAAGCAATATATTTGTCCTTAGTAAAAAAAGAATAGTAGTTTGCCTTGGCACGTTTCAAATTGAAACAGTTTTTAAAGTTACTTCCTGGATATTATGTTATTTTATTATTGAAAGACTCTTGCTTGTATTATTAATATTTGACTTATTTTTCTCTCCCTTTGTCTTTCCATTCTGGATTGTAAAGTCCTTGAGGGCAAGAGGCTGTATTTTGTATACATTCAGAATACTGCTATGAGCCATAGTGTAGCCTGGCGTGAAAAGAAAAATCAGTGATTTCTGATGCTGCCTGAATTTAAAATGTTGATATTTGGTTTGTCATACATTTTTTTTTTTTGGCAGGGGGTGGGGGGTGGGAGTTGGTTTTGATTTTTAAAAGGTGCTCCATTAAAATTTTATTGGGCCAGATGCAGTGGCTCATGCCTGTAATCCCAGCACTTTGGGAGACTAAGGAGGGAGGATCTCTTAAGGTCAAGAGTCTGAGGTTACAGTGAGTTATGATTGCACTGCTGCACTCCAACTTGGGTGATAGAGCAAGAAGACCCTGTCTCTAAAAAAATAAATAAAATAAAAATTTTTTAATCTTGATTACTGAGTTTTTTGATAGCCTCTTAAACTTTGTACTCTCCTTACCCCATCCTGGTCTTGGGTCCCAGTACATTGTAGAGAGCCGTATAGTAGGCTCTCAGTATGTTTTCTTGGGCATATTATTATTACATTTCTCCTGAGCAAGTGTCTCCTTTTCAGGTGTTTTACAGCCCTATAGATGTCAGACTTGAAGGTTTAAAAAATAATTTTCCCTGTGGTTGGAGTAACAGAATCAAAAAAGAAAATTTAGAAAGTAGGAAGTTTTTCTGGTTTGAGAAGTGTCTTTCTTCACCTCACTTTACTTAGTATAGAGGATAGAGACATTGAAACCTGGAATTCAGTGGAGAAATTAAATAGAAAAGGTTTAAAGACAGTAAATGGATATCTTATATATCAGTTTGCTTCATCAGTTATCCAGAATGTTGCATATACCCAAAATACTACACCTGCCCATGTTCTAGAATAACCAGTTCTATTTTGTTGGAGTTTGAGAACAATCTGTTAAAAAATCATTTAGTAAAATATCTGCATTGTATTGTGCATCTTGGCTTAAGAATGATATCTTTTTTGCTTTTTCTGCTAATGTGGATGTATGGTATTCTAATATTGGCTATAGCATTTTCATAAAAAATTAAACATTTACCTATTGAAAGGTTATATACTAAGCAGAATTTGCTTTTGTGAATTTTTTAAAATTCCCTTTTGTTGAAAATATTCAGATTGATAGTCTCCAAATTTATGGCTCAAACAAATTAGCTTTGGAATTATCTATACAATTTCAGTAGCTAGAGTAAGGTAAAGAATAGCCTTTTTCTTCCAGTAAAATGCCCTACTTAATTTTGCATTATTAAGTATCAGTGGTAGGTGATGTGATCAGAGGCAAGAGAATATAAATTGTTCTAAGGATTTCTTTCCAAATATTTTGTGATTTATCTTTTTATTTATATTTATTTATGCACTTGTCTGTGAAAAATACCAGAAACATAGCAATTTGAATGGATGATATTAGAGCTGAACATGCTCAATTTTTCTCTGTTTTCATTTAAAAGAAACATAATTGTATCTTAGGTGCTATATTATATTGGGGAAGTTGACTGTAGCAAATTTTGTACTTTAAATAGAAAATTACAGACAGCATATAAACTTTGAATGGATGTAATATTCTGTGAAACTCATTTAATTAAATTTTTATATAAAAAGTTAGTTTTCTTAAGGGTATTAACATTTTTAGAACTATTTAAGTGGATTTACTTTTTATCAGAGCTGCTCTATTGTTTGTAATTCACCTAATGGTGGCCCTGAGCATGGAGTTTAAGAAAAGGTAATATCTGAGAATGATAGAAGAATAATATCTATCTATGGTTCCTTCCAAAGGACCTGAGAGTTTATTTGGGAAATAGGACAGTGCTTGTGATGAAAGTTTAAAAGTAGAATTGTTATGCTAGAATAATGGAAAAATAGGTCTGAAAGAATGAGTTGATTTGATGAAGAGGTAAGAGTTCTGTGATGAATTACAGTTGCTAATTTGTTACTAATTTCTAGTCTTAACAGCTTTTTAATTTTGAGAATGTGTACAAGGAATATACACACTGTTTGAATATACTTTTTCTCTAAGAGTACAGACTTCAGAATAAGAAAATTTATTAACTTAATCATTTCAACAATTAGCATTCTTCAAACAGCACAACAGCACTAGTAAAAAATATTGAAATATTTTCTATACCTGCTTTTTCACTTCTTGCCTGTGTGTGATTTTTCTGTTTAACAGGAAATCAAACCCCAAAGCCATTATAACCATGGATATGGTGAACCTCTTGGACGGAAAACTCATATTGACGATTACAGCACATGGGACATAGTCAAGGCTACACAGTAAGGTTTTTGTTGTAATCATTTTCCTCTTTGGCATCTGTTAATCCGAATAACAGTCTTACTACCTTGGGAAAAATGTCTATATCTCCATTAAATAAATTAGTTTCTTTTCCATTGGTTACTTGAATATGTCTATTTGCTTTTGGTATTATTTGCTCATCTTTCCAGAAGTTTATTATGCCCTAAGAATATTAACATTGGTTATGGAGAATTGAAAAACATTGTTGGTATTAAAGCATTTTAAATGGAAAATATTAGTGCTTATCCAATATTCTCTTCCCTCTCAACCAGGTATACAGATTAGAAAGAAAATGTAGTCAGTGTCTCATTTACTTATTTAACCTGTGCTAAGGGAAATATCACAGAGTTGTTCAAACTATTATCTTCAAAATGCCAGATTATATCAGTCTTTGAAATAGGAAAGGGTAAATCTAAGGATACTATAATGTAAATCATATGGAACTTGAAATATAACATATATTTTCATCTACAAACAAAGAGGAGAAACTAGTTGATTGGGTCTTCAGCTTTTTAAGAGTTGTCTGACATTCATTGCGTTGAACAGAGCTAATAGTCACAATATAGTTATTTAGGGTGTATGTTTTTTCTGGTCTTTCTGGTTATCTGCTATCTACTTCAATAAGAAAGGATGAAGTGGTATCTGTTACACCAGTAAACTAAGTAAAACTGGGTATTTTTTGTTTCATGAAGCTATGAAATCACATTTTTCTAATATGAAGGATTCAGTGTGCTTTTAGGTTCTTAATATTATATAAAGTGCTGGAAACCTTAACACTACTCAATACAAACCAAATTTTAGAGTAATGTGGCCTTTATTAAAACTTGTTTAGGGCATCCTTACCTGTATCCTAGGAAGCACTTCAGACTTTCTGGAATACTTTGGAATTAAATGCAAAATTTTATGTGTTAGAGCATGTTTCTTGGTAGAGTCTGTGACTTTCATTACATTCTCAAAGGGGCCTGTAATTCCCATAAAAGATTAATAACAATTGATCTGAATAATTTGATTATAAAGTGATCTCATTCTTTGCTCAGGCTTTGAGTACAACAACATAAATTCCATGACATCTGTAAAAATTATGATTCTGTTTTCTATTTTTTCTTTTTACTTTTTAGTGTTCTTCAACCTTCTGAATATGATTCTGTTTTCTTTTGTATCTTTGTTTGTTGTTAGGTTTGAATAGGCTGTATTATCTAAATACAGGTTGAGTATGCTTAATCCGAACTGAGTGTTTCAATTTCAGATATTTTTGTATTTGGTAATATTTGCATATACGAAATGAAATATTTTGGGGATGGGACTAAGTTGAAACATGAAATTCATTTATGTTTCATATATACTTTATACACATAGCCTGAAGGTAATTTTATATACAGTATTTTTAATAATTTTGTACACTTCACATGAGGTCAGGTATGCAATTTTCCACTTGAGGCATCGTGTTGGCACTCATGAGTTTTAGGATTGGAAGCATTTTGGATTTCAGATTTTTAGATTGGGGATGCTCAACCTGTAAATACATTTTATTAGAATAACATGAATATTCTTATTTTTTTTCTTCACACTTAAAGCAACAAAAACAAGACAAAACTCTTAAAATTTGTGTCATTACAACCTAATTTATTTTGTTCATAGTCTTCCCTTCCTCACTTAGTATTTGCTTGGAAATTATTAATTATTTATAGTGGAAAGAAGAGGTACAATACTAAATTTTGATATAAAAGTTCAATGCATTTTTTAAAATACATAGGCCTGAATTTAATGTTTTCCCCAGTTACATTTAGGCCTTCATATGTAAATAATTCATTCTGTAAAATAGCTGAGGCTTTTTGACTGGGGTGCCAGATTTAGCAACAAATTAGCAGGGTGCCCAGTTACTTATTTCAGATAAGTAAATCATTTTTTAATGTAAGTATTCCACATATTTCATGGTAACCCTGTTTTTGAACCTTTTATACTTGGTGATATCCAAATTTGATTATCTTTTATATATTTTGACTTGGGATACTATCCATTCTAGTCTTGTCATTATCTAAATTTTAACTGTTATTCCAGAAATTGGAAATACTCTTGAGTAGAAATAAATAGATGGTGTATTTAGAAATAATCGTTGGTGTTAATTTGCTCTCCAGTATTCCACATATTGGAATGCTCTATCATTTTTCTGTTTCCTTATATTTTTGCTGATCTCTGCATTTCTTTTTTTTTTTTTTTTTTTTGACACAGAGGCTTGCTTTGTTGCCCAGGCTAGAGTGAGTGCCATGACGTCAGCGTAGCTCACAGCAACCTCAAACTCCTGGGCTCAAGCGATCCTCCTGCCTCAGCCTCCCGAGTAGCTGGGACTACAGGCATGTGCCACCATGCCCGGCTAATTTTTTTTTTCTATATATATTAGTTGGCCAATTAATTTCTTTCTATTTATAGTAGAGACGAGGTCTTGCTCTTGCTCAGGCTGGTTTCGAACTCCTGACCTCAAGCAATCCGCCCTCCTCGGCCTCCCAGAGTGCTAGGATTACAGGTGTGAGCCACCACGCCCGGCCTGATTTCTCCATTTCTATTCCCCTTTTTCTGTCCCAGTTTTACTCCAGCCCAACTTACGCTCTGGGTCTGTAGTTGGAAGCAAAGAGTAATTGCTTGTGGTAGCTGGCTTGGTGAGGGGTGGCGCAGAAAGGGAGAAGGTTAAAGAACAAGTTTGAGCCTTTTGACCAGTTAATGACACCGTGTTTTCTGAAAATAAGACCAGGTCTTATATTTATTTTTCCTCAAGAAGACACACTAGGGCTTATTTTCAGGGGATGTGTTATTTTTTTAAGTATGGTACAACAATCTACATTTATTCAAATATAGTTAAGTTGTCTACTTTTGGAACATCATCATAACTCTCCAACCTCAAATTCCATACTGAATTTATTGCGAATCTATTTCCTTTAGAACCATTGGCCCCAATCTCTCATGTGGAGCAATAGAGCTCTCATGGGGCAGATGAGAAGGGCTGTTCTTCGTCTTTACCGCTCTGTGACGGAATGCATGGGTTGTGCAGATACACTGTGTAGCCATGCCCATCACTAGATTTTATTTTTGGGGTAGGGCTTATATTGTGCAAATGCTTAGAAATCCTGTTAGGGCTTATTTTATGGGTAGGTCTTATTTTCAGGGAAACACGTTAGTAGTAGTTGGCCTGGAATCTTTTCTATTAAGAGAAGACTCTACTTTTTGGTAATCATGAATAGGATAATCATTTAACAAAATAATTGGTATCATATCAATATGAAAATAGCTAATACATATAACAAATTATAATGCTTAGTATATAGTAAACACTCTATGAATGCTGCCAGTTGCCAGAGAGAGAGCTGTCCTTATATTTTCAAAGGTTATTCCTAATCAGATTGCACTTTCAAATTCTTGATCTTTTTGTTAGGGGCTGTTTTCTTATTTGTTTGTATTTGAGCATTTATAATTATCAATAGTGTTCACTTTATTACTTTTATTGCTCTTAAGATATAGGCTAAAAATGCTTAGTGTTTTTGAATGTTTAAAAATATTTGGAAATTCTATAATGTTGTCATTTATGGTGTGTGTAGTTCACCTTATAAACATAAAAAGCAAGCTTTGGAAAATATATAAAAGTAAAGGAGAAAAATGTGATCTATATTACCAGCTTAAGAAACACAAGTAGCAGTTTCATATTTACTTTAAAAAGGAGATTTATTTATAAATTTAAAAAAATGTTGAAGGGTTCCCCCCTTTGAACCTATGTATTGAAACTATATTCCCCTCCTTGAATCTACATGTTGAACAACAATCCTCATTGTTCAACTTGAACAAAACCTCAGTAAGTTTACATTCTTTTAATTGGAGCATTTAATTAATGTACATTTAATGTAATTACTGATAAGGTAAGATTTACATCTGCCATTTTGATCTGTTTCATTTATGTCTTTTGTCTTTTTGTTCCCCAATTCCTCCATTACTGCCTATTGAAGATCCCTTTTATGTGATGAGTCACTTCTCTCTCCCTTCTTTCAAGATTCTGTCTTTGCTTTTTGACAGTTTGATTATGATGTGTCTAGGTGTGAGTTTCTGAGTTTATCCTACTTATAGTTCATTGGCTTTCTGAATATAAAGATTATAGGACTTATTTATCTATAGATCTTGGAATATAGATTAATGTTTTTCATCAAATTTGAGTTTTTGTCACTATTTCTTCAAATATTCTTTCTGCTTTTTTTCTCTCTTCACCTTCTGGGACTCCTGTTATGTGTATGTTTGGTGTTTCACAGGTCTTTGAGGCTTGTTAATTTTTCTTTATTCTTTTTTTTCTCTTTTTATCAGACTGGGCAACTTCAACTGACCTATCACTAATTTTTTTTCTTCTGCCTGCTAAAAGCTACTTTTGAGCCTTTTAGTGAATCTTTCATTTTAGTTATTGTACTTTTCAATTCTAGATTTTGAGTCCTTTTAATAATTTCTTTTTTTTTTAATTTCATCATATTATGGGGGTACAAATGTTTGTTTCATGTTTGATACATATATTGCCCATGCCTTCCTCCCCCGAGTCAGAGCTTCAAGGGTGACCATCCCCCAAATGTTGCACATCTCACTCATTATGTTTGTATATACCCATCCCCTTCTTCCCCCTCCCACCTGCCCGACACCCGATAAATGTTATTCCTATATGTCCACTTAGGTGTTGATCCGTTAATACCAATTTGCTGGTGAGTACATGTGATGCTTGTTTTTCCATTCTTGAGATACTTCACTTAGTAGAATGGGTTCCAGCTCTATTCAGGAAAATACAAGAGGTGCTATATCACCATTGTTTCTTAAAGCTGAATAGTACTTCATGGTATACATATACCACATTTTATTAATCCACTCATGAATTGATGGGCACTTGGGTTGTTTCCACAACTTTGCAATTGTGAATTGTGCTGCTATAAATATTTAAGTGCAGGTGTCTTTTTTCATAAAGTGA